GCTGAATTGCTGCCTGGAGGCATTTGAATGCTCGCGACAATTTTCAAGTCATCAATCGTCATTATACGGACTGTATTTGTTCGCGGTGTGACAAGGGAAAGAATGATATGATGAACCCATACACGTGATCATATGATTTTCTGTTTTGATAAGTTCTTAGTGATATAATCTCGTACTTCGGACTTTTTTTCAAGAATTCTTCACTGTCTGTGTCTGTGCTTTTCCGGCCGGGTGGGGCAGGAAATTGAAACAAACACCACGTCTCAACATCACATCGGATGTTCAATTTTTAGTACGTTAACGTTACGTTTTGCCTTTAAATACCTAAGAGGTTATGGTACATGGTATGGAGATAAGTGACCTCATTGTTCTTACTCGAGTTATTTCCGTACAAGCTCCTTGGGTTAAGTTTACAACTGATCAAACGTTAAAATTACCTGATACAACGTAATCATAAGTCATGGTCTTTGAATGGTACAGAAACTCTTTTCCTCGCCGACCTAAGCACATGTATCGAACCGTATTCATTATGCCCTCGTTTGTGTAAACAAAACAGCAGACGACAGCTCGGACGACCTTTGACCTTTCGTGTCCGCATAGCCTGACGGGAAAACACTGGGCCCCAGGAAGAAGCATCATGGCGACACTTGCGCTTCTGATGGCAGGCAGCGAGGGAAACAGTCGGGTAAGGGATCTCTCTCACGTTTATCCGCGCATTCTCTATAGCACAGGAGGTTATTCTAAAGTTGTAGCATATGTTGATGTAGTTCAACTGAACGTTAAGTGCTGTTTTCACTGTCGCAAGACGGGTCGAAATCAGGGGCTTTGTTCGGGGTCTTATGATTTTTATGAGCGTCTCGGCTTTACCCGCGAATTTGATTTTATTTTGGGAAGAAAATTGCATAAATATCGACCAGGGTAACATAGGTAACAAATGTAGAGCCTGTGATTTCTTTCCTGGGTAGTTAAAATTCCGTAAATACCATAAAGTTCATCGCTTTTTTTGGGGGGGGGGGTCACGTGTTCCAATGCCCTTGGTGATACTCATAAAGAGTCATTAAGTTAGGCATGCACATAAATTCTGTAGTTAGTGTGTTATCCGCTATACCTCTATACATGCATCCGCCAGTTGGTACAACCATCTCACAAAAGAATGTAGATATGGTAGATTTTAAAATTAAAGACCTTTGAATTTGTCTTTTTGGAATTAATTGTCGTAGTCAAGTTTTTATGACGAAGATGAGGAAAATAGCAGCACCCCAAAGAGGAGACCGATCAAGCGGAGACGGACCTCACGGGACAGCGACAACAAGAGTGAACGTGGGGATCCAGAGGAGGGGTAAGGACTTTTACATCCACTTTAAAAACTTCTGTCTTTATTGCTTGAACACAGATGTACCAAGAAGCATGCAGGTTACTTGAACAAGTTGAAATCTTGTAACATCCCAATGTTGTATCCCACACACAGTGTGTCCTCCCGACTTGGTCCATCCTGTCTCTGGGAAGGAGACAGAAAAGGACCGATTTTAGACAGGTCAGGCTGCAGGTGTTAGCCATGTTTGTCCAGCTGCTAGATGTATTTGTTCATTTGTTTGTTAGTCAGGTCTCACCATGTCCCAGCTCATGTCTGTAGGAGAAGCAACACTGTTCTCACAGCACAAAATATCTTCCTGCAAGGTATGATTCAGCTTAACTGCGTTTTGGTTCATATTCTGGCACATGTATGCTAATGCTGCAGTTGTGACGTTACCTGGTATTGGGAACATAGTTAATTGTCTTGATTGTTATGTTCTGCTTGTAGAGTTGTTTAACCATACTCCCCGGCATAGCCATAGCTGTGGGGCTGTTCAGCCATAGCCGCAGGCCTGCAGCTGCAGGGCTGTTATCAATTAGGATTTTACCATGGTCAATATTGACCAAAGGAGGTCATATACTGTTTGTAGAAATTTAGATTGAGAGAAGAAGGTGGCTTTGTTAGTTAAACTTAAAACCATAGGGTTAGTAAAGGATTGTGAAAGTGTGGTGTTCAGCAATCGATCTGAAACAGAAATATTCTGTTACACTTGAAGTTAAAAAGCTGAAGTAGTTTACATTCCTTCCATATTAACAGAGATTATGAGGGGTGTTGTCTTGGCTTGGCTCAATGACGCCCCCCCCCCCCCCGCTTCATGTTTTCCACATGTAAAGTGATCAGACTGTTTGTTAACGTGTGTTTCAGTGGTTCGCTGTTCCCGGCAGAGAACCTGTTTGAGTACCAGTGGCCTCCAGACAAGAACGGGGACTGGTACTTCGTACAGGAGCAAGTCAGCGAGTTCCTCGGAGTCAAGTCCTTCAAACGAAAGTACCAAGGTGGGTCAGTAGGAAGGAGAAAATTGACTGCGTTCTGTTGTAAGATTGAGTGTAGGGTATCCAAGGCAGTGCCCTTCCAGAAAGAGAATTGACTCACCAAATGTAAAGTGACTAGTGTTGAGTATTTTAGTTTACTGGCAGTGACCTTACAGGAGACACTGGACTGTTAATGAAGTTATGTCATTAAACATTCAGTGCTGATAAGTACATTAGTGTCTCAAGGGTAGTTATTCAATTAGGGCTGGGTGTTTCCTGTTGCACTATAACATATACAAATTTTGATATTGCAGAAAAATATTGCAATTTGAATTTGACAGGCTACTAGAACATAGAAGAGGTGTAATGGATCACATATTGCAGAAAGCAGAAGTAAAGCATTTGCAGCCCTGCTTTAAATTACTAGTATAATAAAAGACGACTGAACACTAGACTGCTCTATGCCTTATCACTAGTGTGTATATGTTTTGAAATATGCTTCAGTTTAAATTGACTTGTAATAAGGTTGTGTTTGATGTGTAATGAGGAAGAGTTTTCCTCCATCAGATCTGGACCGGCGAGTGATGGAGATGGACGAGAAACAGTACCTGTGGGAAAAGGGCGTGGTCAACGAAGCTCAGGTCACATTAGGTGAGCTGGTACTTTTGTCCAGGAGTTATCTGATTGGTTCAGCCGACATGAAGCCAAGGCTACCCACCCACAGTAAAGTCAGCATCACACAGCAGACAAATAGCTCACCAGACAAGTCAGCTCTGAAGTACTTTCCAGCCAGAATACTGTCTGTATTTTCTTAATCACTGTGCAATTTTTAGAGATCTGCCAATATTTGAAGGTCACCAAGGCCCATCCAGTATAACATTAGATATTTTAGCAAAAAAATATGCCAAATATTCTCTGGTGATGCTAGCTGAAAGGTGAGTTGGGACCAGATAGTAATAAGAGATGGTAGTACATTCATATAGAAGCTTGAACTTGAGATGTATTTGGCCTATTTTCTACTCCATAAAGTTTGTCGTGATTAAGTGTAATGACGAACATGTCTGTGCAGGTCTGACAGCTCTCCGATCTGAGGAGGTATATGACCTGATGTTGAGGGACTACCCACAGAAGTACCAGGTAGGTCCACATTAAACAGTACTACCGGTACACATTTTTCATCATCAAATTACAATAATGACAGCCTAATTTCCTAAATGCCACTAGGTACGTATAGGTTTCCAAAGGTTAGACAACAGTAAGATTACTTTGCTGTACTGTTAGTAATGCTGGTATGTGATTTTTTGAATCCATTTTTCTCTGACAGGAATATGCCTGTGTTCTACATGAGAGAGAAAGACAGTCTATTAGTGAAAAACACAAGGAGTATGAGATGGTGAGTTCTCTCTGTTTTGTATGATTTAGATGAACATCCGTATGAACAAATGTATTTTTATACGAAAACCTTCTGTCCTTTCCTACTGCAAAATTAAGACAAAAGAATTTACCATATCCCATTGTTTCAGCCAACCATAGAGGTGAGTAAGGTGGCAGCATACATCAAGCGGGCGGCACACCAGGCGGCAGAGTACAACCGGCAACTGAACCAGGAGAGGATGGAGGAACGCAGGGCGTACTTCGACATGCAGACACAGGTTTGTCTGCTTCTCTACAAGCTCAACTTGAGTCATGTGCAACAGATTGACCCTTCATATTTGATAAGAGATACTAATGCCTTCTTCATTTTACCCAGACCATCCAAGTCCCTGCAGGGAAGATGAAGAAACTTCCCCCCGAGGTGACCAAACCTGGACCTTTCCCCGTGGCTCTCATCCCAGGACAGTTCCAGGAGTACTACAAGAAGTAAGACTTAGTATTGCTGGTGTATCACATTCTTTTGGCAGAACAAATATTAATGCAATTAAAAGATGGCAAGGTGGTCTTGCGGTTAGGATTACTGAAGGTTTGGGCCCTTGGGAAAGTCACTTTGCACTTATTTCATCACTGACTGGTGAAGCTGAGTACCCATAGCCTACTAGTTGAGTAACTGTGGCTATCTGTGCAGCTATTTTTGTACTGAAAACTCTCTCCTTTATCCCCTGCAGGTACACGTCAGAAGAGCTGAAGTATTTCCCCCTGAACACGTGTCTGTACGGTCCGCCCTCCAAGGTGGACCCTTACGCTCATGTCAGCAGTGGGGAGGAGTCTGATGAGGAGAGCTCCTCGGTATGGTGGTGGTTTCTTTCCTCCTGCTTCTCTTGCACCTTTTTACAGGGAGACAAACACTGTAAATCCCAAAATCGAGTTTGTCTTGTGCCTCGCAAGTGCAGGTATGCAGAAAAAGGCATTTCTGCCATCTTGCATAGAACCCTTAAAGAAAATCCTGCATCCAAACTTTATTTAACACTGATAAAGAAAATATAAAGTCAACAACAGCAATGTTGCATGCTCTGAGAATAAATGAAGGAATATACATATTTTTCCCCATGTTGTGTACTGTACAGGATGGAGATTCATCTGGCTCAGGCTCCGGGAGCTGCAGTACCAGTAGTAGCAGCGAGGGGGAGTCGTCACCACCCGAGCAGCCTAAAGCCAAGGCGGCCACTTCCAAGTCTGCTGCCAAACGGAAAATACTTCCGCCTGTGGCACAGCCTGGGTACAGGGTAGGTACTGTTGGTGCTTGGTGTGACATTGTGAATATTTGTCTGTATAAGATACAGTGCAAGTTGACAAATGTTTTTTTTCTGTCAGTGGCTATAGTGACAATTTCTGTAATATCTGAATAAGATACTTGTCATGCCAGGACACGCTCTTGGAGTTCGAATTTGCTTCCTTTCATTTGTCCCAGGTGCATGGAATTCTGGTCACCATTGTGTAAATGGAGAATTAAGTATTCTGTCTCTTGCCTTGAATTACTCAACTGTAATGATTAGAGCAAGTTTTCTATCTCACATTTTTATGTAAGTGCTATAGAACAAATAACTTGTGTACAGTAGGGAGTCTTTCCTTCAATGGAAGTAGGTATTCCACCCAAAATTGCACAAACATTTTGTGCCTTTAGTTATTATTATTTAAATACCAATAGATTTCACTGAAAAAAAATGGTTTGGAATACCTACTGGAAATCAGTCCCTGTGTTATGTCTACTAACATAATTCCTCCAGGTCACATATATCCACCACCCTAAAAAAGAGCATCTAATGATCTGGAGAGATCTCCAATGCAATGTCCCCCAGTACAATGCACTCCCATAAATGTACCTGGGGTGCTGCACTAGAGATCTCTCAAACACACTGGCAGATGTACATGTATGTAACCTGGTGGATTATATGTAAAAGAAGGTTGCCCCCAGCACACACCATGCTGACCCATGATTTACTGGTGTGTGTGTGGTTTCAGAAGCCTCGTGTGCAAACCTCGGCTACTGAGGCTAAAGGTGCCAAACTACCCAAAGCCTCAGAAAAGGACAAGGTTAAGATGTTCTCTTCCTTTGTTAATTGTCTGTAGTACTGCTGGTAAGGCAAGCTTCCCCTCCATGTGTGCACTGGGACAGGTTTTGAATTCCCACGCTGTGATTTGAATGCCAGCTTGTCTGAACTTGATGAAAGAATATCCATAGCCATTCTGACAAATGAACAAATTATTCAATAGACTTTGTATGGTGAAAAATACATTACATGTCAGATAAAATGTTTTGAGTATGAACTTTGCTATGCGACAAATTTTTGTGTTCACTTGATGAATGAAATTTTACAGTTTCTTCTACATTTGAGTTACAAACTCAACAGTGATTAGGTTTGAAAGCTTCTTCAGGATCTTAGCATTTCTCCATCATCCTTAAGTAGAAAACTGATCAGTATGAGTTAATGGCCATGTTCCAGTGCACACAGCTGCATGCATGGTGCCCGGTAAGACCCTGCATGACATAGATCCAGCATGGCGTAAACATAGGACATCATTCAGTGTCATGGTATGCAAGCCCTCTGTTCCTAGCCTGAGATCCAACCTTGTCAGCTTGTCTGATCCAACCAACTCCAGCTGATCAGGCTGGATCTAGGGCTGTTTCATGTTAGCCTGGTATCCATCCCTCTGGTACTGCTCTGTACGTCCATCCCCACCCATATCTGAGGAGGGGACAAAAGAGACCAGGTAGCTACAATAGTGATGTATACCAGGCTAGTTCCTTTTCTGCTGCCCATCTTCAAATGTGCACTCTATAGAGGTGTTCTACAGAGCCAGTTGTTGCTATACATTGCTGATTTAAACCTGTGATCAGTGACAGCCATTCAGAAATACATCTTGCAACAGAGTTCTCTACAGAGCACCTGTAGGAAAGAGTGCATCACCAGTCATGTCATAACCACCATCTCAGCTGTGCTTCATTTTTTTCAGTTGCTGATCCCTGCTCTGCACTAATGCTTCATGATCTATATGTGTAGGTCACATAAACTCAGTTTTGTGGATGACATCCTCTGGTGAAAACAATTCTGATGCAGAAAAAATATTGAACTTGCGCCACTTTTCAACATCAGTCTCCATTTGTGGCAACCGGTAGCTAGGGTGTAAGTGCCATCGTAGATCACTGCCCAGTTATTATCTGAAAGAACAGGCCAGACCAGTGCATGCATGGATGTCATCCAGAAATACAAGTTTGTGTGTCACTCCACTTCCCGCTGCATAGTCTGTGCTGTATATGTACCCTCTAGATATCTGTACCCTACATTACTGGTCAAGTGTTTTGCTGGGCAGAAATCACCTTTTTGTCACAGAGATTGTGTAACAAGAGATCAGTTGCATCTCTTGACTGAAGGCTGTACAGGTAGTTGATAATCTGCCTTTTCTCCAGAAGCTGGTCTAAAATACAGACTCGTTAGTTTCTCCCACATTAAATTTAGTTTCTGCATCCAGCAAAATACATACCCGTGACCAGTTCACCTAGCAACCGTTGCCTGGATACCAACTGTTCCATATTTCCCCACCCCTGCAGCCCAAGGATGACGTGCCCAATGCTGTGTGTGGGATCTGTCTGAAGGGTCCGGAGAACAACAAGTGGGGCAGGATGGAGGACCTCATCCACTGCTCACAGTGTGACAACAGTGGTACGTACGGCATGTTTTTAAGCATAAATCCTGGTAAGTAAATGAACAATGATAATGTTAAATCATTATGTGATAAAAAGCAAGAAATCATGACAAGAAGAGAAACAAAACCAATTCTTCAGAACCAATTCAATTAACAAATCTAAAACTTCCACACTTCCATCCCTGTTTAGGTCACCCCTCATGCCTGGACATGAGTGATGAGCTTGTCCAGGTGATTAAGACATACCCCTGGCAGTGTATGGAGTGTAAGACCTGCGTCATCTGTGGGGACCCGTCTGAAGAGGTAACTTCATCAGGCTCTCTTAGTCTCTTAGATGGTGTTCTGTGACGTGTGATTGAGGTTTTTTGGGGGGATGTTATTTTTGTTTTGTCCCAGGATAAGATTATGTATGTGACTGAGGTTTTGGTGGTGTTTTTAGGGTTGTTGTTGGTTTGAACTTTATTTTTGTTTTTTCCCTCCAGGACAAGATGATGTTCTGTGACGTGTGTGACCGCGGGTTCCACACCTTCTGTGTGGGACTAGAGGAACTCCCTATAGGTAACTGTCCTTGTCCACCACACACCATCACTACTTCAGCATGGAAGTTCACCTGTGTCTGTAAGATGGACTCAACTTTAGTTCCAACACAATCCCACATGCCTGCCCACCATAGGCAATTTGATATATTTGTTCTCTGATTCATCCACTTCATTTTTCTCTTGACAATGAGTGGAAAATTTGGAACTGAGATTTAGTCCTTCTCCATCTTTATTACCATGCAGTTTGTCACTTCTGTTGTTTTTTATTCTTGATTACTATTTATTTAATTATCCTAACAAGATATTCCATGATGGTATTGTTATTTTTGGAGAGGAGTTTTGGAGACTTGGAATGTTTCTAGAGGAACCTGATGCTGTTTCTTTTACCCTGCCCCTGCATGCTGAGAGCCAGACTTCTTAATGTTTGAGACTTTTCAAACCTTCCTTGAACTTCAAACTTATATGTTTCAATCAAAGCTCTTTCCAGCACCCAATACTCTGTCCCTGAATGGAATTTTGATTCTTATGACAAAAATTCTGATGTTGTATCAGGTATTCAAAGTTAAGATCAAGCCATTTGAAATAGCCCATCAAAATGTAGGCAATAAGGGTTAAAAACAGATTCCTGCCACATACATTGCTTGACACGGAACTTTGTGGGGACTGACCAAGACTTACGGCTGGAGAGAGTCCTGATTTCAATTCTGGTGATTGTTTACATCCCCTTTTCATTAGAAGCTAGAACCACTGAGCAACCAATAATTTGACAGATCGCTCAACAAATTTCATAGATAAAGAACAAATTTTTACCTTGTGTGTATTTTGTTGTCTTTTAAATTATTCTTGTACATTTATCCTTCTGTTCCAATCATGAAATGATGGGTTACACAAATCCAATTTTGGTTGCCTAATGGTTGCTCAGCATTCACTGTCTAGTGGAAAGGGGTCCTTACTGCGAAGGTTGCGGGTGTGTTGATACCTGTCTCTTTATCTTTTCTGCACTTCATTCACTACTGAAGTCCTGATCCAGGAACAACATATTCCTGGTAAAACCGCACTCCTTCTCTTTCAGAACAGAGCACTTAGTCTCGCTTCTAATGTATACACACCATAGCTAATACAGTTTATATCTGTATCTGCCAGAGCACATATTGTCTAATGCCTTGGGAGCCACTGACATGTTTTTCAGCAAGCCACATGCTGAAGTATTCAATATTCTTTCAGCTAAGGAAGAACAGAATTGTATTTTCTATGTTATACTTGCTGTCAGTATCTTAAGCTGCTTGCTAACTGCTTCAGTTTGCCTCCTACAATTTCTGCCACCCTTCTTGTGTTCCAAGGCCCTTTTCACTGTTCCGTTTCTGCCTGACAGGACAATGGGTATGCCAGACCTGCAATTCTGCCGACATGGGACAGGAGGAGCTGCCGCCACCCCAGACCAAGAGAAGAAGCAGGGCAAGATGAACATCCCAGACCTGCCAGCTAGCGTGGCATTACTATTGGCAGTCATTTATCCACAGACTTGAAACACAAGCCTGCTTAAAAAAAGAGCTACCTACAGGAGACTTGAAGAAAATGGTTACAGGTCAAAGTAGATAGGTGGCCACTATAGACAGCATTCTTATGCTTGGATCAATGGAGAAAATAATATAAGGGACTATGGAAAATGGACCATAATGGGCTGGTGGTCCTTATGTAGATGTGGTCACTGTGGTCACTAAGATGACTGTCTATGCTATCTGATTTGTATTATAAAACACAGAAACACTAGTCACTATGATTTTAGTCATTTCATCCGGAGCCACTTTGTGACATTCCAACCTGTTAGTGGATGTATAATTAATACACATGTACAAAGCCACAGAAGAGCCATTCTGAGTGTTTTATTTGGTCCACTTTTTCTTCTCATTCAGAAAGTATACAAAAATGTACAGGTAATCTTTCATCATTTCCAGCATATTTACATCATAAAAATATATATAAATATATATTTACACCATATATTTACATTAGTCAGATACAAAAATTACAAACACCATTGTTTAAAAAAACAACTGCCTTTAGATCTGTCTAAAAGTTAGTAAGTCAGAACTACATTGTGAAGTATAGGTTCAAAAACTAGGTTTCATAATTTCATTAATTATTACTACTGTATGCCCAAAGCTGTACAATAACTTCGTAAGGGTGTTTCACATTTTCCCAAAGATATCCTGATATAATAAAGTTTAGAGATTCCTGAGGACATTACAAAAATATCATTTGCTGGAAATTTCCTTGAGGCCACGGAGTGAATGTACCCAGATTTTCATTCCTGCTGTTTTCATCTCAACCACTCTTTGAAGTTTAAGGAATGTCCGAGAACCAAGAAAAATTTATTGGTGTGACCTTAAGACATCTGATCATAGTTTAAAAAATATGAATCATCAAAACTGATAAACACATTAATCTGCACAGTGATTTTGACAACAGGACCTGCGGGGATTAGTTTGTGATGCAACCTGACATTTCTCCAAAACCAACACGACATTAACTACCGGGTACTATGCTAGGGGGTATTCAGAGGGTAAGAGTATGAGACTTTTTTGAGAAGCTTTTTTTCAAGTCTGACAACTGTTACCTTGTAAAAACAACCAGTGTCTTTCATTACATACATTCACACAAGGAACTTCAAACCTATTTTATGATACCTTAAACTGGCATAACGTATTCATCAATAGAGAACTCTAGAATTCATCTCCCAACTACCCTAAAAATCATCTCAATCACAGATTGCACATCTTTGAATGACTGTCCATGATGCATCATATAAAAGAAGGGTTTTGGAAAAAAATACAAAATGTATGAAACATATTCCCAATTCTTTAAGCACCTTAAAATTTGTGGCTGTAAATCTTAAATGTTTGCAGTTTCATTTTTGCACTGCGAATTCATGGAACTACAAACATACATTTTGAAATGTATTATTAATGTACTACAGAATTGTTTCAACTGTGAACTTCAAAACACGACAAAAAAATACCTTTTCCCATTCTACCAGGAAATTACTACATGTACCTCTCTACGAAGTAAATGAATTTACAGTACATTGATTAGCTTTCTAGACCTCAACAACATATAGGGGTGTAAGTAAACTTCTGCGCCCTGCCTCCCTACTGCAGGTGTTTTTGTGTCCTGCTATACTTCAGACTCTGCCTCCTGACTGCTGTTCACTGCTCCAGGTATGGCCAGTCCCACCTCCAGCTTCAGGCTGGCTTTTCTGGAAGTCAAAGGAATTCAACTGGTTAGCCAAGGACTCTAAATGTACCCATGATAAGATTGGACTCATACCCCACTCCAGCCAAGAAAAGAGCAGGAAGCTGCTACAATACAAGATAAGTAAGTTAGATACATGTAAGGTTGCACAATGAGTAGCAGAACTCAAGTAGCTTCTCTAAATAGCACAGAGATTTCTACACGTTTTTGCTTCCAAAAAGCTGTGGGCTGAGACACTTTTCAGGTCTTGTATATGCCAGATAGTCCCAGGTTTCAAGTACCAGTCCTGTACTACAGAATTGTTTCACCCACGAAGTTACTAAGGCACTGAAAACCTTTCTCTTAGCACAAGATGAAGTCCCCAGAAAAATGAATTTCAAGAAACCGTCAACTCACTCGTCGTCTGAAGACCCTCCTCCCTCCTCGATGTCTGCTGTCTTGAGATCTGCTTCCACCTTCAGGTTCTTCTCCTGGACAAACTTCTTGGCCCAGTCAGGCATCTCACCTGTCTTGTTCTTCTTGGGGGGAGGTTTGGGGCCTCCTGACACTCCTAGCAATGATGCTGACGAGGAAAAAAAACAAAGCACAGAAATTTCACTCCAGCTGGTCCTTTTAATAAAGACAAAGTTTCCGGAAGACAAGTCCATTTTGGTGTATTCTGTTATGGTGCCGAGGGCCAAAATTGCCCGAGTAGATCGGGTGTTTGTACATGTGGGCATGCAATTGTTCAGAATCCGTAAATTGAAGAACTGCAAATTTGCAACTCAGTGTAGTACTGATACGGTGTTGACTGACAAATTCCCACAGTAGATCATGTGTGTGGCTTTGGAGACTGACACTCTATCCTCACACTTAAAGGCACAATGTCTTGAAACATGTCTTACAGTTTTTAGATGTTTCTTCTTCTGCTTCCTCCTCCTCCTCCTCTATCACTTCAGGTAGCTTGGGCTGGTCAGGTTCAACTATCACCTGCAGGAAGATGGAAGACCTTTAATGTGCTTTCATGCCTTGCAAGATGAAATGTCCTTTATATCTAAGAAGTCTTTAGCCTGATCTTCAACACTTTCAAAGAAACAAATGGAAACCCCTTATCAGCTCCCTGTCCTGCCATACTGACCTGTGGAGCCTGTAGTGACACCTGAGGTGTTAACTTCCGAGCTGGCGTGGCGGGGGGTGAACCAGACTTCCCAGGATTCATCTGGCTGCTGGTGGTGTTGATTGACGGGTACGTGGACAGGAACATTGGGTTTTCTGAAATAAAAAGAAGAATAATCAATTTCCTCAGCCCACCCCAATATCATGAAAGTTCATCTGTGTCGGAATCACTGAATTTTCACCAGTTCTGTGCTTGAGTTTCAGTTGACTTGTGCCCATCAGTCTGAAAGACATAGTTATTACCTTCCTCCTCCTCTTCTTCAGGCTCTTCTTGTATCCCATCATCCCTGTGAGCAGAAAAACACAACTGTGTTACAGTTTTTCAGGATTAAGAGAAGTCAGATGTTGCCCATGGCACAGTAGCAACTAGTCAGATTATGACCTGTCACACCAAACTTTTGCAAGCAATCTGAAAATCTCCCTACTGTACCTGGTGGCAGTAGTTCCACTTTATGATACATGTAGTTCTAAAAAAACAGGATGCCATTTTTCCTTCCAAACAATCTGCTTGTTTCTTTTAATTGATAAAAAAGCTACTTACGATGACATGGATGACACTGTTGGTTTCCTCCCAATCTGTAACAAATCACCAACATACTTTAACATCTTGCAAGGAACACCAAATCATCATTGAAAATTTGGTGAGTGTATTCAACAATTCAACCTAAACAATGTTTAATTTCTTTTGTATAAAGAGAAATCACAATTCAAGAAAAAGAAGCCTTACACTATTCCGGTTCCTTCTGGATGACATTCTTATTCCTCCCTTTACAATCTTGTTGAGCTCCTTCATCTGAAATCAACATTGGATTTCAATATGATGAAAAATGGACATTATACCATCAATAGAAATGTTCTGGTAACAACAGATTATGATAGAAATCTTAAAATGTTGCAAAGAGTTAGAATATTGGGCATTTTTCTTTTCAAATCCGGACAGCCCCTGACCATGACAGATTGTGTAACACAGTCTTGATCCCATACCATTGTTACATGTAATGTTAGCACATCTACTGACCTCCTCTGGGTTCATGACAGTCATGTCCCCCAGGATGCTCCTCCTCCACTCTGAGGTGCTCTTCTTTTTCTTCAGACGAGGTCTGAGGGGAAAAACAGAAAAAAAACTGAACACAATGTCATGTGTGTGTGAGATGGTTCAATGGTTAGTGGAAAAATGGGGGTTTGTATATGTTGTTTAGGCTTCCTGTGGATATAGAATGAATTGGATTAGTGTTAACGATGGGTTAGTGCTAGAGGAGTTGTAACTTCTTCCATTGTCTGTGTTGCTTGAACAAAACTATATTTATTTAGTATTGATAAGTCATGTGATAGAAGGGGATAGGATCACCTATGGAAGTTAAACTAAATCTGGTTAGTTATGAGTGATAACTTTATCTCCATTTTTAGCATGCCATGCAGGTAGGTTATCAATGATGCACCATGTGATGTTAACCTTCACCCTGCTGAGGTACCCATTTGGCACCAAATCTGTGTTGGTTACAGGGATAAACAGCAGGGAGAAGGTTAAGGGTTTGGTGGGTTTATTTAAACCTTATATGATGACCCAGTTGAAGCTCACGGTCTGAATAAACGATCATGATGATTCAGGTTATGTTCACACACTCACCTGTCCAACAGAGTTCTGAAAAATATTCAAGGAGAGGGTGTGAAACAGATGATACAGATATGACTGTACCGATTCATACTGACATTGTCAGACTGCCCACCAAATAATCAATGATACAATATATCTAGTCTGTGCATATTATAACGTCCAACTCTCATGATTCCATGGACTCTCTAAGACTGCCACATTAAAGAAAACAGTGACTTAAAAGAGATCTGCTAATGCATCATCAGTAATCCCAGGGTGTGCACATTTCACTAAATTTGTATCAGTTAAAGGTTAGGTAGCAGGGGAAGGAGGGTGGTGGAGTTAGAAATATCTTAAGACATCTGCAATTTAAGAATAAAATACACAACGAATCATGAATGCATCAAACTGTCATCACTAAGCATGTATTTGTCCAAACTGAGATGTTACAACTTTCTAGCTTTCCAGTCATCATGACGGCACCATAGAAAGTAGCACAACAAAGACTGAACCTGCTGTTATAATAACAAAACTGAAGAGAGAATGAAGGATATAGACTAAGACTATAAGACTTGCCTATGGCTAATTGAGCAAACCTGGTTGCATATCTGAATGAATGAACATATAATGAATGCCAACTCACCCATTTACACTATCCACAGAGAGCCTGGGAGGGTCAGTCAGACTGTTTCGGGGTGAGAGTGTGGTAACACTGTTTCTGGGTGTCTGCAACATAACAGTACAAAAACTCAGACAAGAGTGTCTTAGAATATCTGACTCACTTGATTTGTGCTTTGAACCTTATCCCTCCTCCAACTTCTGTATTTAATATATCGATTGACTTTCTTGGACTGTGTTTCTCCAGATTTTGTGCCGCTTTTGTCTTTCCCATAATTTTTAGTCAGTTTAAAGTCTGTTTTGCCATCATTCTGTACTGTACACCTTAAGGTGATGTTGGGTCATCCCCCTCCCAAATCATTATTATTATTATTTCTGTATTCTTTAACCAGGGTAGCACTAACTCAGTGACATAGCACTGCTTTACAGAGTGGCCCTGGGTACGACATATATACACGGAAATACAACAATATATACACCAAAAACAATATCATAAACGTGATCCATTACGCGTAATCGGGGTCATGCCTGGTCGTAAGTGAGGGAAGTCAGAGGTCACATAACTGACCAGACAGTGTTCTGAACGTCTGATGCTTCAGTCTCTAAATGATATGTGGTACACAAATAAAACACCTAGTTGAAGTAGATAAAAATTGTAATCCTCCAAGATTACCTATGTCTTAACATAGCCAATTTTAAGGAGACTACAGACTATTTTACCTCAATCTTAGGTGCCGGCTGTGGTGCAGGCTCTACTTGCACCACTCCAGACCGGGTGGCAGGCTGCTCAGGAGGCTCCTCCAGGCTTTTGCCAGAGTCCACGCTGCTCTGTCTGCCTAACTCCTCCACGTGGGTCACTGAGGCAGGACAAGTTTGTTGGTTTGTTTGGCAATTTTGCTTGCTTGTTTGTTAATAACACATATAAGGTAATCTATCTCATAGCATACTCATAACCAGGTTTTGTAATAGTTTTAGACCTTAAAAGCTGCACAAGGGAATGATTTGAATTTGTTTGGGGCCCTAGTGTATAAAGTCTACTCTATCTTACATTTTTGTTCAGTACCAGTAAGTGTTATTGATGAAGACAGCATTTTTAATTTAAAGAAGGTATGGATGAAATTCATTTCACTGAAATCTACAGTACAGTGTATGAGCACATAGATCTATTCCCTAAATGATAAGATTTGTCATAGTCTCATAGACATTGGCACAACTTACCAGGGAACCATCCCACTTTGTCATAACCAAGTTTTCTTCCCTTGTACCAGTCACCTTTCTGTGAAACAAAATACAGATTTATGTTACAAACCAAGACAGAAATAAACAAAAACACTATATTTACAAAGTAACTTAGAACCAGCTGATTGCAATGAGCTATAGCTGACATATATCTTCTAGAGTAGGAATTTGATTATTAATAAGACTTAGTGTATCTTGACATAAAAAGTAATTGTGCTCTGTTTCACCTTTTCTAATGCATCGACTTCATCTCCAACTTTGAGGTCCAGTTCATTAGAGCCGTTGGCCTCGAAAGCCTGGATAGCCCTTAGCTTCCCAGCATCGCCTGTTTCCTCTTGTTTCTCTTCCTGTTCTTCATCCTCCTCTGCATCCTCTCCTCCTTAGACAGACCAGACAGGTCCTCCTCTTTGTCCTCGTCCTGCAGCCCACGGATGTCACAACAACAGTTAGTGTGCAGCAGTGAAGGTTAGACATCCAGGTAGAACATTACTCTGAACAGGACATAAATATGATGCTACATGAATATGCCCCATGTGTACAAGGCTTCTAGGATGCACTTACACTGTCTTCAGGAGGTGTGGTCGTGGGTCTTAAAGATGGTTTTCTCAGGACCTCAGGGTTTGGTTTGGGCAGTCCATCCTCCAACTTGTTCTGGCTCTGTGAAGATAAAACAGTCAAACATTCTGACTTGTGTTTCTGTGCACCACGTGTAGCACCTTCCCTGGTCGTGCATGTAGCTAGGTGATGAGGTGGTGATGATGTTATTTCCCCATGATGAGGCAGTGCTGATGAGGAGTGGACTTGCCTGTCAGGACAGCAAGTGAGGAGTGCAGCAGGGCACAGTGTGGTCCAGCCTGCTGGTATCCTCTCTAATCTATCTCTGGTTTGCTCCTCAAATTTCCTCCCTTGACTGATGGGTTGGTACCCATTTATGACAAAAAAATGACATTTCAAAAAGTGTTCTGATTGGCTCTGAGTCACATGGTCCTCAAACTGGCTATAGCAGGGTTTGAACAGGGACTTGAAAGTATAATCTTCATTACACTACTTCTGAGAAGTATTTTCATTCCCAAAATAATGCAGGATGTAAGGACCAACCAAATAATAAGGGCCAGACTGTTTTTTTGGAAAAGCAATCGGAAGAGGAACAAACCGGAGACAGAATAGGATGGATCCCAGGCTAGTGTGGTCAGACACTTTCAACATAGGTGATGCTTTACATTTTGAATTCAGAATCATGTTTTAATCCAAATACCAAGGGCAACAATTTTGATAAACTTTAAGAAGTGTTTGTCTAAACAGTCCAAACAGGAAGGTCTACAAATGAATCCATATTGTTGCTTCAAAAATAATACATGTACTGAACAGTACATTTAACATGCAAGTAAATTTCCACCATGACAAGGATTAGTTAGTTAGGACACCTTGAAGTTGCACAGATCTGCCCTAAGTCCACAATATTAGATATTATACCACACCTTGAACACTGGTCAATACACATTCAAAAAGACATTTGTCAAACTTTCAATGACACCACTTTGGAGACCATACATTTAAAGTTGTCTCTGAAAAGACAAGTCAATTCACAATATTGTGACATGCTTCCTTGTAACCCATTCAAATCTAAACTGGGCATTGTTAGCTGATATCACCCAAGCATGTGGCATGGAAAAGCTGTGGCAGTAGTAAGCAGTGCAAGAGTGGATGTGAGTGAGCAGGAAGTGGAGGGTACCTAGTGGGAGGGACCCACTCTGTGCAGGATGGCTGGATATGGAAGACATGATGCAACCAAAACTTCTGTGTTACATGACTCTTTGATAACTCTGTTACAGGAGACTTGGGAGTAACAGGATCATTTGGTTTATCGTTTTTAGATTTCATTTGATTACATTAAAGAAATTTTCTGTCATCATCTTACCAGAAAGACAATGATCAAGACAAGTGATAAACATGCTGCAAATAAATATTGTTCCAGCGTTATCTTGCTTGTTTCGTTTGTTTGTAACACTTCAGGATGAAGTGTTCTCCTATCCAGCGATCCCCCAAGAGTACAGGAGAGTGGGTTTGTCCTCAGACATGACTACCTGTCGACTGGAAGTTCGAGGAGTAGAGGCTCGAGAAGCATTGGCAGAGTGAGCTATAGACCCTCTCCGGCCCGAGGAGGGCGGCGCCTCGTTCTGAAAGTCAAAAGGCAAGAAAATCGCACAAACACACACGAGAGCAGTACATGTTAGTCTCCACCAGACTCATCTTATGGCTGAATAAATGTAATGCCTCAAAATCATAATCATCCCTTGCAGACTGGACCTGATCTCAAGAACCACGCATTTAGTAGAGATTTAATCAGCCTTTAACACAATGAGTCTAGTTGATACATAACATTCTATGTCTACAACTAATGCTACACATAGGATCAGCAAAATACTACAACATCGATGCACATTAAAAGCAAATAGAGAAGTCAAAAGCGTGAATTCTTGTAGAATATGTCAAATAACACGAAGTAGCAAAATTTCCATCCGTGAAATAATATTTCAAGTAGCTTCCTGTATTTGAAACTTAGAGAAAAGTATTCTAGAATCAAACCATGTATTGAAAATGAACCACAAAGAAAATTAAAACCATAAATATCAAATGAAAATTACATGATCAATTATCAATTTGGTTGACCTTTTTTTTTTAAATTCAAGATAGAGTTGTTAAGTGTCTATCCTAACCATGAACATAACAAAATACAACAGACAGATGTGATATTAACCTTCTTCCTGCCATCAAATCCCACAACCAATACAATTGTGGTGACACATGAGTATCTTATCAGGCTAAATGTTAATACTTTCCAATGTTAATCAAATTTGTCAAATCCCAATGCCTTACACGTGTTAACAAGATTTGGTTAGTTTGTTTGGACACATATTACACCTTGGGCCCTAACAATGACAAGTTTCTTATACCACTTGGTTCCTCTTCTTCTTCTGTGGTTGGGAAGTTCCAAGACATCGGGAGACAAAACAGTCACAATTTGAATCTCAACAGAAAATGGATACCCGGTAAAAGAAGTTTAAGGAATTAATTTATAGCCTGGGTACCATCCGGATTTTTCGCTCCGCAACGCTTGAAAAAAATCACGATTTTTTCAAGCGATGCGGAGTGAAAATCCGGATGGTACCCAGGCTACTCACTTTACACTTAGACACAATCATAGGTTTTGTTTCTTTTCTCAGGAACAATGTTTATCATAAATTCTACACTAAAATGTAGACTAGGAGTGTTTGTGCTACTCACTCTGGTGCTCTCAAACACTGCATTTAAGAAATTCTTGGCAGTGTCAGCAAAGGTGGTCTGCAAGAAAGATAAACAATAAATTAAATTGAATTCGTAAATTTTCAATGAATTTCTGCATGAATCACATCTGATTCAATACTATTACGGAGAGGCAAACAGAACCAATAGAACCTGCAAACTAACCTGAAGTTGGTAGACAAAATATTGACTGAAAACTTAATATTGACTGAAAACTTATGTAAAAAGCTCATTTTCCTTTCTACTGCAAAGTGGGAAAATAAAATTTAATGAATTTTTATTATAACCTTCTCCTTCTGGAGCTGTCCAACATCATCATCATCGTTCTTTCCCAACTTGTTGAAGGCTTCGATGGCAATGGCAACAAACAGGCTGGAATAGAAAATTTCAGTTTCAGCAAATTCAACAATTGACATCGGCAAGCAAACACTCACTTAATACATCCAATACATCTGTGTGGCAGTATCATTAACACAGTGTAACAAAACTGGCAGGTAACAATTCCTCAAGAACAGATGAGAGAATGCTACTGTTAGTAGTGTTGAATATTGTTGAATTTGAAGCATATTGATTTGATGGAACTAACTAGTAGACTTTACTTACTTCATGACCACCAGGTTGACCACAATGTAGCAGCTGACAAAGTAGAGCAGGGCTGCATAATTGGTGTTCAGAATCGCCTGAAAAAATGGACAAAGGATATCATATTAAAGGCAACAGCAAGTGAATTTTATGGAGGATGCGTGTACCAACCTTTGCCTGCTTTAACAAAAGAAAACAAGAAATTTCATTGCAGTGAACATAATGTTATCTCTTACATTGCATTGCTACAGACTGTTTCAACTGCAAACTTATAACACAATGGATGCCTCCTTTACCCCCTCCTACCTTTACCCCCTCCTACCTCCTACCCCCCACAAACTTTAAATCAATCTACAGTACTCACTGCATTCATGATCTCATGCCAGTTACTGGTGGTCACAACTTGAAACACAACAGCTAGGGAACACCTATAAAAAAACATTCAATGAAAATGTGAATGGATTACTTGAAAAATACAGCAGAAAAATCCTACAACAGACAGTGACAACATGTTCCTAAGGTTTTCCAAGATTTTTGCCCAGTTCTTAAAGAGAGTTTACTTACAAGAAAGTTTGGAATCCAAGTCCACACTCGTAGTCCCACAGGGAGGTATCATAGTCCATGTTTATTGTACTGGGGTCCTTGCGGAAGAAGATCTCCATCCCCAGTGTGGAGTACATGTAGCTGTAGTAAGAGCATGAATTTAAAAGTTAGTTAAAATCCTTACCATTACCACACCTTTTGGTGTACAATGTATAGGGGCAGTGCCCATTTCTGTAGTGGGTTGTGTTCAACTCCAATACTCTTTGCTGAGTGCTAACTATTATAACCCAGCCAGCACATTGTGTTGTCCCCTGTGCATTTAAGCTTGAAAGTTGGAAATAGATAAATAAAAAATACCTGTATAAGAAGTTATGTTACTCACATGATGATGAATACCAGCAGAAGCAGGTCAAACATTACCGGGTAGATCTTCATGAAGAGCACAAACGCTTTCTTGGTCTGTGAGGAAAAACATCAAAGTCGTCAACAAAAAGTCGATCACGTGTACTTCCTGTACTGTGGAAATAAACCTTTCAACATTTCAGGACTTCTATCTACCCCATTGCAATAAGACAATCAGACAAAACAAACCTGTGAGGAGTTGAACCCCAGCCTGATGAAAACTGCCATGGACGACACGACCACGCACCAACCTCGATACACCGGTACCGGCACATCGCTCTGGTTCACATACACCACCACATACCTACAGGGGGAACCACAAATATCAACATGTGGCTCAAGTTCCTGTTAGCAAAGTGTGATATGACAAGACAGGTTTTCGGTGTAAGAATAGTTGCAAGTCATCATCCCTTAAGTACCAGTAACACATTCTGTTTGGTGAGACCAGGTTGGTGACAAAGAGCCCAAATACCTCTTAAGAATTTTTTTGAGCTCTTGATCTGATAAACAAACAACAAAGAAACGTACCAGACAACATTCCCCACGATGGCTATGACCACCATGAACATGTCTGCCAGCTCCAGGGGATCCAGCATCTTCTTCCCCAGACCAATGAACCGGATGATGATCTCTACCAGGAACAGGAACACGATGGCTGACCTGATCGCTGTGAGAGGAAAACAACAAGTCATTCAGCTGGGTGGATGGAAGAAGCTAGTGAATACATGAGTGAACAAATGAATGAACAAATGAATGCATGAATGAACAATGTGGACTAGCACTTGCCAAGCAAGAGCTATAGCTATAGCAATGGGGATGGGCACCAACCTATATACCAAAAGGTGTGGGAAGAATCTTAACAGGAAGCATTTCAGAAAAATCTCACCTTGTACAATGAGTTCATCGTTCAGGGTCATGGTGTGCCAGCGCACACAGAAGAGGATGCAGTGGATCCCGATCAGCACCAGGATGAAGATGGAAAACACCGTGGCCTGAAGCAGTTGTTGGGATAATCAGTAGTAGTAGAAGTACCGGTAGACAGGTTTATTTTCCACACATGTACAGGGATAAAAAGCATGTTGGTAATCCAAGTACTGAATTGTATACATGTATCTTGAAAAGTTCACAAAAAATAGTTATTCATAATACATGTATTTACAATAAACATTGGTTCATTAAATAAATTGTTACCTCATCTACTTAATATATTTCAGAGGCAGTTTAATAATACATGTAGATCTAAAAATAGATGATGCAAAATTTGGGCTATGTCACCTGTTCATAAATTTTAAAGCTGTTCAACAACAAAAGAAATAAGGCAACCACAAATCATACAAGTAGTATATAAATCAACCAACTCAAAGGAGACATCTGTAGCTGTGACCCTTTCACTTACGTCATTTACAAATGCCAGACACAAGTAACACAAATAAACTGCCATGTTCCATGGTGCATGGCCATTTCTCTCCCTTTGTCTGTATTGTCGTCTCTGTTTGTGCCACATGTGTGGGTTCACACATGACCTGAGACTGACATGCATAAACTAAAGCTGCACAGAAATAGCCTCAACAGTTGAAAAGAAGTGACAACAAATGGATGTTACATACCAAGCATTTTAACCTTTTCCCTGCTGCCTAACACTGTAACCAATACATATTTGGTGCCTACTTCAGCTGGTAAGGTAAATATATAATGCCTGCACAATGTTACGCATGCAGAAAATGTTACCTGTGCCACTCTTTTGAAGACATCAATCACAAAGGTGAAGCATGTTCCATGAATTCTCTGTGAAGACAAAAGGGTCTGTCAAGGACCAAGCAAATAAGGTAAGAAAAATGTGTAAACTCAGTAACTGTTATTTTCCAATATAATAATAATTGAACTAATAATACAATGGAACCCCGTATTTGCAGGTTTAACATTTTGCAATGGAAAGGTCACCATGAAAATAAAACTACTCACTGTTATTTCCTGCACATCAGACTCCTCAAACTCGAAGGACAAAGCGTCGTTGAGCCCAGTTGTCCAGTCGAAGGCGTCCACAAACCCGTCAGTGTCCTGGTCAATCTCATTAATCAGCTCTCTGTTCTCCTCGTCTGTGTTCTGCAGACGGGCAGATGGGGCAGGTCAGATCAAACTTTATCAAAATTAGTATCAGGGCATACATGTACGTAATATTAATGTGTTCAGGTCTCCCATTCATAAATCCTGAGTTTCCGGTCAATCCATTGACCTACAGTGACATAAAACTGAGTTGAAAAGTTCAGACTGTCTTTTAAGCAAATATCCACATGCACAGAAAAATTTACAGATTCTGCCACATTGCAATCTCTACTGTAACACACTTATATATATATAGAGCATGCATATGTAATATGTACTTTTGGTTTAAGTACCCTGTAGAGGGTACTGTCAATATGTGCATGTAACGCATTACATGTAATGAGAATGTGTGTATGAATAAATGTGTATCTAGACAGCATTTCCATACCTTTGGCTTAAGTATCCTGAAGAGGGTGAGCAGTTTCTCATCATTGACAGCCAGCTGTCCCGACCCGAGAGGGTCTAACAGGTTCCACGCCTTCCCCAGCTCCGCTCTCTCCCGCGAACGTTCCCGTTTCACGTGCTTCTTTGAGAACTCCCTAGGAGCAGAGGGAAGGAAATTAAGTAATCATGAAGATTATGCATTGTTTGCTCAAAAAAAAGTTTTCCCCCAGTTACAATGCCAGGTTCCAAATTGGCCGCTGTGATCACTGTGACATTATTGGGGAATTTTACTTGGCAGTGGAAATCAAGGATTGGAAGGATGATCTTATTCTACACGAAGGATGTTCTATGACAAAAGAAGGATGTATGCTCTGTACAAATATCTTTGTTCATTGAATAACAGTTATCGTGGTTGAATGTTATCGGGAACCATTGTATTTCGATGTCATAGGTAGCATAATCACTTTAGGTATGGCAAATTACGATGTCACATAAAGGATTACACTGCTCAGGAAGGAAACATACCAGTAACTGTCTACGATGATGGCCAGTAGAATGGCTGCTAAGAAGTACACGCCGACATACAGGAAGATCCCAAAGTACAGGAAGGCTGCCCGGTTCTTGTCAAAGGCTTGCATCATAAAGTCCTAAAACAAACATAATGATGAAGTGCTGTGTACTTCATTTCAGGTTCTCAATAACACTCTAATCTGACTTGCTGGAGACGTGGAAATAGGCAATAAATTAAATGAACCAAGACGTTGAATTACAATTGCCTGTGTTGCACAATTAGACTGGATATAACAACTTGCCACAAATTGGCAACACTAAACTGATTGCTACACTTAACTCAGAGTAGGATGCAAAAATCTAAGGGCAACTTTTTAGTTCCCACAACAAGAAAGCTGAGGAGCACCCACCGGGTAGTTTTCCGTGGACAGGAGCACAAAGAGCTGCAGAGAACTTGTCCCGATCTGGTCAAACACTCTGTGGGCACAAACATAAAGTTGAAATTCATCTGCCTTGCTATTTTGGTCAAAAAGGAAACTGCAGGAAAAGTTTGAGGTCTAAACAATTCAGTAGTGTGGTAGTAATGCATTGGAAACACATTTTCACATTGTCATAAATTCACAGTCAAGAGGTCACTGTGAAAACTGCCAAAAGCTGCAAAGAATTTACAGTATACCTACATGTATTCTGAATCAAGTGATAATTTGTCCATGTTAGAACAGATCCAGAGCACACATCTCAAGTTTCCCAGGTAGTTTTGGTCTTTGGGAATTCTTCTTCTCGCAATATACCAGAGGAGGCAAACTTACCCTGTATAAAAGTCTGTTTGGTTCACACTGTCTTCACATGTACTGTAAAATACAAGGGGAGACGGTGGCAAGTTAAACCAGTTACAGTCATACTGGAGGTGAGTCTTTACCTACAAGTCACTAGCCTGGTATATCCATCCTATTCTAGCTCTGGTTTGCTCCTTTAACCTCCTTTGCCCAACAGATCAGAGGAGCAAACCAGAGCTAGACATAGGATGGATTCCAGGCTTAATACTGGAAAAACTTTTGCTCAGAAAAAGTAATAAACTTCAAAGTCAAATATCTCTGTCCCTGCAAAGTTTATTTCAGACACCTGCAATAGTCCTTTAACAACAGGAGCTGCCACTGTCCTTGGGAGTGACAGGGTGTTATCCTGGATAACACCCTGTCACTCCCATAGACAGTGGCAGCTACTGTCGTTAAAGTCATAGGACGAAAAAAAAGGCCTACCGGATGCCTGTTGTTGCATTTGTGGTGCAGTTGTGATGGTAGGCCTCCATGAAGATGTGCACACCGATGGCACTGAACGTCAGGATGAAGACTAGGATGATCACAAACACCTGGGCACAGGTAAACACAACAAAGAGCAGGTAAATGCAAGACAAATGAGAACATGGTCAGGTGGTACTTAATCAGAGCTGGGCACTAGTACAGGACAGACAGTACACCATGTGAACATTATTTATAAGCAAGAGGCTCCTACCTTGCCCAGTTTGATAATGATGGACAGTAGGACATCAAAGATGTGGCCCACGTTCTTGGCCTTACAGAGAAGCATGCCTGCCCGCAAGCACCGAAATGGCTGTGCTAACCTCTGTTGGAAAGGTCACAAAACACAACATGGTTATAGTCTTGTAATATTACGCAATGCTTTCTGAGCACAATGAATTAGGAATGCAATAAAACAACAACAAAATTTACCTGGAGGAAATTTATGAATAATTACTATTCCATGCTTGCACAATCACAATCATAATCCGGTACTACAATGTACAATGGAGAATTGGTTAACAAACATTCTTACATGGCTTGTACCTACTGTGGTTTACTGGTTATGCGAAACAAATAAAAAGTAAACCCACCATAGGAATGGCTTCTTGTATGATGAGCATAATGAAGTCAAATGTGAACATGCACACCAGATAAAACTCAACTCTGCAACACAGGAGGAAAGAATGGTAACTACAAAGTAACACATTTAGTTACTGTGATTGTAGATTTCTTTTAATTTTGTAAACTCTAGAAAAACTTACCAACAAACACATGATTGCTCATTCCTAACTGACAAAGACTGGTGCTGTTTGTTCAAATTTTGTCCATGAAAGTTAGACATCCTGGTAGCATACGTCACTAACGGACGTCACTAATGGATGATATAGCCGATACTATCTGAAATGCCTAACTCTTTAGAGAATCCATCCAGTTGCTGGGATTTATTTTCTACTGTGACATTTGTCCCATTTTCCCTGTTTTGAAACTTATTATTCAATCCTTGCTACAAAAACATGAAAATAATATATATATGCTGTATATAAAACCTAGAAGATCTCTGCTGTACAGGGACATTAAACAATATGGGACAACATGGTCATACTTTCTAAAGCACGTTTAAGGTTAGTAGTACCTATTTAGTCATTCTGTCTATTTGGGCACTAAACCTTAAGGAACAAACACTAAACAAAGTGTCCAACCTCATCCACTTGTTCTCGTCCAGTGCCCAGTAGACTCTCCATGTCATGAAGGCCATATGCAGGGCGATGTCAACATAGTAACACAGCAGACAGAAGGAGGTGCACAGGTAAACCCACCAGTACTCACTCACGCTGGAAACAACACAAAACAGGGCAATCAGAGATGACAGTCTTCACCCTTTACTGCTTTGTGACCCTTCTAGTCCCGATAGACAGAAGTAGCTGTGCTGTATATATTAGGATTTGCAGAAATAAAGACAAACAGACTAAGTGCTCACTTTCCATGTTATAAGTCATGGGTTCAATTTCCCAATCAAGTCATACCAAAGACCTCTTAAATGGTACAGATTGACCCCTCTGCATTTAAGGGAAATGTCAAGAACAGGATGACTTACACAAACCTCTTTGTTTTTGTTTTGTTCTTTGTTTGTTTGTTTGTTTGTTTGTACTTACGACCCAGCAGTGATGTGTTGCTGTGGAGGTTCCCACACAGTCACAGTGCAGTGCAGCAGGATGACCAGGTACAGGAACCGCTTGAACCAACGGTTACTGATGATGTAGAAACATCTGCCATGGGGGAAATACAGTAATTCGTCAGTCAGGAAAAACTATAGTATTTATTGTTTCTCAAAATCAAAAAAATAAACTTGGTGAGACCTAAAATCGTTCCACACTCTTTGGACAATCAAAGTAAATTAAATGTTCCATCATTTTTCACCTTTGTGCAAATTTGGGCTTGAAGATGGCGCGAGCCTTCCCGTACTTCCCTCTGCCAGCCAAGGCATCGTCGATGTGAGCAGCAGCAAGTTTCAACTCTCGGTTTTCCCCCTGGAGGTCCACAAACGTCTTGGTCAGCTCATCACTCTGGGGGGAAGGAACAGGGAATACTGTAAACTCATTTATTTATGGTAGGGGCATCAATGTCTTCACTAGTATTACAATAAAAATGCCTGTTTGCAATGTCATGATTTCATAGTGGACAGGCCACAATTAAAATAAAACAACTGCAAACATTCCCAAATTTACAGTATATGACAAAATCAAGCTAGACATGAGATATTGAAGCATTCTCCATTGGTAAGGCACAATAACAGCACCAACAAAGGAGAATGTACAGAATCCGTTCACCTGCAGTATACTTGACTCCTCGCCCCAGGCAAGTATGGGCTCTGGAAACAGACCCTGTCTCCCATCACGTTCACACATTCTGACTCCTAATCCTACCATAGGGGCATCAGTACGGCACAGACACACTCACAACAACAAGCCTCCACCTTTCCTTCCCCATAACACAATTTACGGAAGTGATACTCTGTAACCTAGGAGCCAGTCAGCAAGACCTTTTCAATACAACCTGTTGTTCCCTTGCAACCATTAATCTGATATGTTTCTACATGCATGTTTCTACCCAGTCTATATGCAAATGAGAGAGGTTCTTTCTGCTTCCCTAAGCAGCAAGTATTGGTGGTATTTTTCAGATACACTTCTTGGGCTTTTCAAGAAGGTAATGGTGAGATGGACAATGTTGATAACAACAACGGTATACTGAATAATGATGTTAAGCAAAGGCTGGTCTTCTTATTGAATTCATCACTTAAAGCCAGCCAAAAAGGCCAAATCTTGTCTTCATACCTCTTTTAAAAATGTTAAATGGCTTTAACAATTTATTTTCTTGGTTCTCAGATATTCCCAAATGCACAACTTCAACAAGCAGTCAATATGTAAACAGGGGGGCTGGAGTAAAGCTTGTTCCCCTGTAAGGTAGGTTTAAGTTACACACAATTCAACCATTTATTCCTGGGACATACAGACAAAGGCAGAGGAAATGTCAGGTGTATATATTACATAAGCCTTTGTCCCACTTGATAACTGTCGTGGAGACAATGGCATGTTTTGTAATGTGTAATAACAACACATCCAAGGACATTATATACAGAATGTATACTGTCCTTGACACAACTAATGACATGTATGAAAATGTCATTCCATCTATGTCACATAGACTTCTATAGCAATGAAATGTCAGTACAAGTCATGGGACAGCTAACCTTGATGTTAGATAAATCTCAGGCATAAATTATGAGTGGTGACACTGGGCTTTGAATGTATTTTTGAGAACTCTGGTGTACCAGCCTATAGATTTAGGTACATGTAACTACTCTTTGTGATTACACTGTACTCTAGGTGATAACAACATAGCCCATAGCATGTAACCTTTTAATGCATGCTTGTCTGTCGTTTATTCATTCAACAACACATTTCACACCCTGACCTGGGAAGTACTGTAAATCTTGTAATGTTCGCAGTTTTTTTTTATTTTCATTTTACTTGAGATCCACATAAAATCATAAAATGTATTTCCATTGTATTTCACCAGTACTACATTTAATTTATTGCTTCAAAAACCTCCTTTCCCTCCTACCATAAGTCTATGTGAACATGGATGAATTTACAGTACGTGCTGGACATGCCCACTTGGCATGACTGTAACTGGAAAAAGCAGCCCCTTAAGTCCCTCTTAAGGGTGTTGAAAGTCAGATGTCGGTACTTTATAGTACTTTGTAAAACAAAATGAGGGCAATGCATTCTTTCTCTAGCCTCTGTATTTGGCAAATGAGCATTGACCAGTCTTACAACTTGACCTGAAAAGAATGCGCTTGAAATGTGCCAACTTCCAGTAACATGTCAAAAATAAATTCATGTAGCACACATGCACTTGGATATGTCCAACTGGCTAGAGTCCAATATGTAGTATATATTAATCATTCAAATAGTATACATATTAACATGACGTTGAAGCTGTTTCAAGAAGTGACTTCATCCTTTCAGGTCAAAATATCTATTTTTGGCAGTCCAAAAATGTTATGTATTATGTATTAGCGAGAGCTGTATACAACAATTGTGCGAGCTAGCATCATACAGCTTTCACTGTCCACAATGTTTACTAAAAAAGTGAGAAGGCTGAATATTGGATATCAAAGGACCGGATCCTGTCCACTCTGGCATAATCCTTCCATTGTAGCTTAGGTTTCACAGAGCAGGAAATAGCAAATGGATAGCACTATACACTTAGATCAAGTTGAATTAATTCAAAAGGTTGATTTTGGTATTGACAAAAATAACAGGTTCTATACTCAGTTATATTCATAATGTACAAAAGAGATACCCATTCCATCCAAGAAGC